CTGATGGGCTTTCCTTTGTATGTGATCCTATTTCTGCCTCTGGCTGCTTTTAACAGTCTGTCCTTATCCTTGATCTTTCCCATTTTATTTACTATGTGTCTTGCTGTTGTCTTCCTTGGATCCCTTGTGTAGGGGGATCTGTGGATCTCCATGGCCTGAGAGACTATCCCCTTCCCCAGATTGGGGAAGTTTTCAGCAACTACCTCCTCAAAGACACTTTCTGTCCCTTTTTCTCTCTCTTCTTCTTCTGGTATCCCTATAATGCGAATAATGTTCCGCTTGGATTGATCACACAGTTCTCTCAATATTCGTTCATTTTTAGAGACCCTGTTTTCTCTCTCTGCCTCAGCTTCTTTGTATTCCTCTTCTCTAGTTTCTATTTCATTTATTGGCTCCTCCACCGTATCCAACCTGCTTTTAATACACTCCATGGTGCTCTTTAACAATTGGATCTCTGACCTGAATTCATTCCTGAGTTCTTGGATGTCTTTCCTCCATTAGGATGTTGATTATTTTTATTTTGAACTCCATTTCAGGAAGAGTCATGAGGTCCATATCATTTAAATCTTTCTGGGGAGTTGTATTAACAATTTTACTATTGACAAGGTTCCTTTGGCGATTCGTGTTTGTAAATGGTGCCCTCTAGTGTCCAGAAGCTCTATTCTGGAGCTGCTGAGCCCCTGACGCAATGTCAGGGGTCGCAGGGGAGCAGTACTGGTGCCTGGGGGTAAGAAAGAGCTGTTCCCCGCCTCCTGGCTGCTGTGCCTGTCTCCACTGCCTGAGCCAGTGGGCCGGGCACACAGGTATAAGTTTTTTTTCTGGAGCAGCCAGATATGGATTCCTGCTTTCCACAAGTAGCCGGAATCCCAGTCTCCCCAGGAACTCAGCCTGTATTAACTTTCCAACCCGTTAGTCATGCGAGTCTCATGAAAACACCATGAAATGTAGGTGTGTGCTCCCAGCACAGATATCTGGAGCTAGGTGTTCAGCAGTCCCAAGCCTTCCACTCCCTCCCTGCTCCATTTCTTTTCCTCCCGCCGGTGAGCTGGGGTGTGGGAGGGGCTCAGATCCCATGGAGCTACAGCTCTGTTACGTTACCCTGTTCACTGAGGACTGCTCTTTTCTCCAAGTATGTGCAGTCTGACGCTGTCCTCTTTCCTGTTGCTCTCTCAGGATTTGTTTCGCCAATTAAATTTTCTAATCGTATCTAGTTTTAGGAGTAAGCCTCTGTCTCTCCTCTCACGCTGCCATCTTTAATCTGAAGTTAACTATAATAGTTTATTAAATATATTAATATGTAACATCTGCATTTTACTGTTAAGTAACATATCTAGCAATAATTTTAGTTATCAGTATATTAAACATTAACCAATTTTATAAGAATATATATAAATATTTAAAAGTGAAAAAACTTGAAATAATTAATTAGATCATTTACATTCTCTTTCTTATACTGAGTGTTGAACTTCAGTGCATATTTTACATTTATAGCATATCTCGGTTTGGTTTAGTCATATTTTAAATGTTTGAAAGCTACTGTATTGGATAGGGAAGCTATAGAGCACAGTGCCAGTAAGTTCCTGGAAGGACCCCTTACCTGTGGCCTGTGGAGGTTGACATGATTGGCCCTTGCCTGTATCTCAAATCTCATCTGGAACCCGTCTCCTCCTGACTCACTAAACTTCAGACTTCTTTCTCGAACTCAAATGTGGGAGGTTTTTCTTGAATCGTGGTGTTTTTGTTGTTTGTTTCCTTTATGTGGAATGTTATGTTCCCAGATAGCTAGTCACATGGTTGGCTCACTTATGTCATTCAGACCTCAGCAAAAATATCCCTCTGGCCTTTGTTGCTTACTTCAAAGAGCCTTTTTTAGTCATTCTCTATCAGTAGCTCTCTGTCTGAGAAAGAAAATCACCACTGACATTTTCTTGTTACCCTGTTTTCTATCAAACTATCAAGTTACTCCTTCACCTGTAGAATATAAGAGCAAGGACGCTTCTCATGTTATTTACTGTTGTATCCTCAAGAACTAGTGTAATTCCTGGCATGTTTTTGCTGCCTGATAAATATTTATTGAATGAGTAGATGGTGTTCTGGATCAGGTATCTTTACATGAGTGGATTTATCAAGTAATCAAGCTTCTGAGATTACCACTGAGGACTGTAAGATTGAGAGACGGCTTAGAGTAGTTTTAGGGTCTTTTAATTTGGAAAGGATTAGAAGAAGTTGCCACTTTAGAGGTTAGAGGAAGGAAGTCCAGGTTGTTTGTTTGTTTGTTTGTTTTGATGAAGAAAGTAAATTTATCCAAAGCCAACATGTTATTCAAGATTACTACATATGTATTAGTACATAAATACATTACTACATAATTAAATTACTACATTTATGACATTATATATTGATGTTATATAGAAAAGTGAACCATCTTCAGGTTTGCTTAGAAACTTTAACATGGTCAGGTTTTTTTTTTAATTGAAGTAAAATCACTTAACATAAAATTAACTTTTTAAGTGAACATTTTAATGGTATTAGTATATGCACACTGTTGTGTAACCTCCTCCTCTGTCTAGTTCCAAATACTTTTATCACTCCATTCCATTAAGCAGGTTCCCCCCATTTCTCTTCTCCCCTCAGCCACTGGTAACCACCAGTCTGCTTTCTTTCTCTACAGATTTGCCTATCTTGAATATTTCTTATATATGGAATCATATAATATGTGCCCTTTTTTGTCTGGCTTCTTTCACGTAGCATGTTTTTAAGGTCCATCTGCATTATACATGTGTTAGTATTTTATTGTTTTTATGGCTGAATAATAATCTACCACATGTATGTGTGTGTATATATATACACACACACAGTATATTATATTATATTATGATGTATATGTGTATATATGTATAACATTTGTTTATCCATTCATCTGTTGATAGTTGGGCTTTTTCAATCTTTTGGCCACTGTGCATAGTATTGCTATGAACATTCATATACATATATCTGTTTGAATACCAGTTTTCAGTTCTTTTGAGTATATACCTAGGAGTAGAATTACTGGATCATATGGCAATTCTATGTTTAACTTTTTGAGGAATGAAATATTATTTTCCATAGCAGCTGTACCGTTGCTGGCTGGTATGAGAGTTCTCGTGTCTTCACACCCTTTCCAACACTGTTGTTTTCTATTTCTTTATTATAGCCGTCCTAGTGGGTGCTGCCTCATTGTGGTCTTGGTTTGTATTTCCTAATGACTAATGATGATGGTGTTGAACAACTATCTTTTAAGGTGTGGCCATTTGTCTTTTTGTTGTTGAGTTGGAAGAGTTCTTTATGTACTCTGGATATTAGACTTTTATCAGGTGTATGATTTGCAAATATCTTCTCCTATTCTATTGGTTGTTTTTTACTTTCTCATAATGTCGCTTAATGCACAAAAGTTTTAAATTTTGATGAAGTCAAATTATCAGTTTTTTCTCTTGTTGTTTGTACTTTTGATGTCATATCTAATGATTCATTGCCAAACCCAAGGTCAAGAAACCGCTGTGTTTTCTTCTAATAATTTTATGGCTTTAACTCATGTTTAAGTTGTGATCCATTTTGAATAAGTTTTTATATCTGGTGTGAGATAGGAGTCCAACTTGATATTTTTGCATGTGAATATCCAGTTGTCCCCTAAATTGTTTCTTAATGAGGCATAAAACACTATGGGCTTGGTGGTGGTGGAAGCAAGCTTTTTCCAGTAGTTTTTCACATTCTACATGGTCTTTATATTTTTACATTTTAAATTTCTACTCTATCTTCCTATTTTCCCACTATTGGGCATTTGATTTTTTTTTTCTTCCTTTTTTCCCCCTTTCAATTTATCTTTGTATAAATTGAGATTTCCCCTTTCTTCAACTTATTTATTTGAATTATATTTGCTGGTTGTGTTTATAGTGAGAAATAGGCTTTATTTTTCTGAGCTTTTGATACAATCACTTAGATGTATTAAAAACTAAGAGGATGTTTTCAATAAAAATAGAGACTCTCATAGGTTGCACTTGAACAAGGTTTGTCAAGAAAGGAAGTATACAGCATTGTGATTAAAAACATTGATGATCATCAGACAGGACTCTCTTGGTTCCATATTACTTGTATGTGACCAGAAGAAAGTTCTGAACCTTTATGCAATAAAATTCTTATTTGTCAAATGGTGATAATAACAGAGTCAACCATATAGGGTTGTCATAACGATAAATAAGATAATGCAAGGAGAACTCTTAGCATACTGTGTGGTACATATAATACTGTCTCAGTTGCTACAACTACTAAGAATGTTTCCTTTCTCTCCCTTCCTCTCCTTGGCCTTCTTTTCTTCCCCATTCCCCTCTTTCTTCCCTGATAGCCTTTGTTTGTATTTCCATTTCCCAAGTCTTCCTCTGACATACTCAGTTTTGAGTTCTCATTTTTAGAGTCAGAGACCAGGTCTTGTGTGGGTTAGAAATGACCTGGCTGGAGGCAGGAGGAGTGATATGGTGTAAGTGCTTCATGTAGGAGACTTGGCAAGCCACCCTTCCTTGTTTCCTTTCCTTTATGTAAAACTTGTTTTTCATTTCCATCAAGAATTGGAGGCCTTAAAGGAAAGAGTGTCTGAATTTACTTTCAGGACCGGTAGCTGTAACACTGCTACCTCAGTGTTGGAAGATGTGGGAAATAGTGGTTTCTTAGGGTCATATGGATTCTTGGAATATGTTATGTGCTTTAGGAATGACAGTAATTTTAAAGAAAAGAGAAATTTGATGACATTTTCTTTCAACACTAAAGTGTGTAGTTAAGAGTGACAAAGAATATTTGTGCAGAGGCTCTCAGTTCTTTACCTTTTAGCCTTTTCCTAGAGGTTCCATGGTCATTAGGAAGCAGTTGTTGTTATTAGTACTCTCTTATGAGTTTATCTAATGTGGTATTTCAATGTAGTTTTTAAAATATTTCTTTACAGTTAACAGAAGATGAAATTGCAACTATTCTTAAATCTACTTTGAAAGGACTAGAGTATTTACACTTCATGAGAAAAATACACAGAGATATAAAAGCTGGAAATATTCTCCTCAATACAGAAGGGCATGCAAAATTGGCAGATTTTGGAGTGGCTGGTCAGTTAACAGTAAGTGTAATAATTTTGGAAACACTTTGACCTAGATGTCCAGGTGTTATTTTGACTGAACTTTTATAACATTTTGGGAGGTTATGAAAAGAAATGCCTAACTTCATTGTTCTTGAGCAGAAGGAGCCATAATTTGAGTATCATTTCTTATTTTACTTACAGTTTAAGAGACATTGAATGAATATGAAAATATATGTTGTCATCAAAATGCTTAAATATTCTAAAAAAGCTACATTGATTCATTTCTGTGTAGTCTTTATTGTTACAGTACTGTTCAATTATTGTCTTAATGAAGGTAGTAGAGATAAGTTACTTATGGACTCTTAATCATTTGTAATTGACAATTCCTTAATATGTCACATTATAACTAGTTGAAATTTTAGGAAAATAGCCAATTTCAGTTATAATTTGTAGTATTTGAGGGTTTCATATATATAAAGAATATGTTGGCAGATTTCCTTTGTGTTTTTGTTAGAGTACTTATGTCTATGTGATGTTTTTGCAGGACACCATGGCAAAACGCAATACTGTGATAGGAACTCCCTTTTGGATGGCTCCTGAGGTAATTCAAGAAATAGGCTATAACTGTGTGGCTGACATCTGGTCCCTTGGCATTACTTCTATAGAAATGGCTGAAGGAAAACCTCCTTATGCTGATATACATCCGATGAGGGTAAGAAAATGATAGTTTGTTAAAAATGTCAATGTTATATAAGTGTTGCAGTTTTATAATGTCAGTCTAAGTAAATATAAAGTAAATTAAATAAGTTGATTGAATTTAGGTTCTATGTAAAAAATAGTAAAATTATCTGTCAAAGATCAGTAAACTGTTAACTTCTCTACCTCGACGTCCTTAATTGTGGAAAAAAGGTAAAGGCTGTATTTTTCTCTATAGTCACTATTTTCTTGCCCCCAAAATATACCTGTAAATTTTTCCCTTGCATTTCAATACAAGAAAGGGTTGGTAAAATCCAGTACATTCTTCAATTCATTGTATTCTCAATGTGGCATTAGAGGTGTTGGAAGAAATCAGTTCTTACTTTTCTACCCACCCTGCAAATTCTACCTTTCTGTGGTTTTTATTTCTCCCCTTCTTCTTCTCTTATCTGAGGCTAATACTTAAAAAATATCTTGATTTCTGATATTATTATGTATCTGTAAACAAATGAATCTTGTTTTTTTAGTTAATGCTTAGTGAGAAAATTGCATTTCTTTTTTGAACGTCATGATGTTTCTTTTTTTCTTTTATCTTTTTAAAAATTGAAGTATCATTGATATACAATCTCATATTAGTTTAAAATATACAATACAGTGGTTCAACAGTTACCCGTATTATTAAATCCTCCCCCCAACTAGTACAGCTACTGTCAACACAGAAAGATGTTATAGAATCATTGGCTGTATTTTCCATGCTGTACTATTATCCCTGTGACCAACCTACATTATGATTGAAAGATTTTGTGCCCCGTAATCCCCTCACCCTTTCCACCCACCCACCTCAACCGCTCCTCCATGGTAACCACTAGTCCCTTCTCAGTGTCTGTGAGTCTAGGCTGTTTTGTTCATTCTGTTTTGCTTTGTATTTATAGTGCACAAATAAGTGAAATCATGTGGTATTTGTCTTTCTCTGCCTGGAGCATCTTTATATGTTTCTATGAACTCCTTTTCCAAGATGACTTTTGAGTTTGAAGTATATACCTTGAATATTGACTTTAATTGCCTATTCTGTAGGGTTTGTGATAATACAGTTTTAGGTTTGTTAGTATGCAAATCTCAATTTCTTAGAGATAACTACATCTATCTCTGTAAACTTATTGCCCTCTAGTGGCTATAATCACCTCGAAAAGATACAGGAATGAAGACGAGAAAAGTGTGTGTGTGTGTGTGTGTATAGAAAAAAAGAAAAGTAGTGTCAGGGTGATGGGAGAAATGTGTGAAGTAAATAGATGGGAAGAAAAAGAATGCAGTGTCTTAGAATGATCTGAAAAATAATAAATTGGAATTATTTCTGATTTTATAACGCTATTGTGGATTGAATTTCAGTAACATAAGTACAGTGTACTATATGGAAAATATTTAAAATTTTTAAAAATTTTTTCTCTATTCACCCTGCAAATTCTACCTGGCACTTTGAGGGAATTCTTTGAGTAATACAACTGTATATATAATATGTGTTATTTTCCTTGTGCATATAAATTCCTTTTGCTAAAGTGAAAAATAAAAACATAAATTGTTTGTTTTAAAATAACATGAAAAATAACAAGGACAGAATAAAATCAGCTATGTACATTCTTATTTCACTTTTGATTATTTGTTATCTTTGGTACTTTTAGTTAGGATGAAGTATATACCTTCAAGATGATCCTTGAACTAGATGTATTTCAGTTTGAGTCGGTGAGGTTAACCGAATTATCCAAGACAACCTACCTAAGTTCCATAGCTGAGATTTAACCCAGGATTTAGATTATTATTATTCTGCTTTGACCTTATGTAAATCATCTTTTTCCAACCAATTAGTTCAACATATTAAATTTGACCTCATACTAGTCTGTCTAGCAGATAACAAAGAATTACAACGTATGGCCTCTGACTTCTAGTACCTTAAAAAATGATTTAACATATGAAATAGTAAAAATATACTTGAAGATAGTATTTCCCTTTCAAATTCTGTGTATCTATCCATATCTTGTAGACTTTCTAAGATGCCTTACTCACTTTTTTCTACCATTCCAAATCCTACCCTTTTTCAAGTCCCAACTCAGATATCATTTCTATATAGAGCCTTCCTTGACAGCCACCACCTAAGTAGATTTCTTTTTTTCCTCACAATTTGTACATAGACAATACTTGACTCTACAGTTTTTTGGACAGTTTAATCAAGTGTTGCCTTGTGCATTTCCAAACATAACATGGTTTTAAATTGGTATTTAAATTATGTTATCATTATTTAAACTTTTCTCAGGTTTGTGAATGACTACATAGAAGAGTGTGAATTTTAAGTATTGGGAAACTCTCATGTGTCAGAAACAAATTTTCCAAAATTTGAGTCTTCACTTATAAGCTGAAATTTTATCATTGCCAACAAATACTATAGTTTCCTTGACATGACAGATGCACTTGGCTCACTTTTGTATCCAAGTGTCAGTAACCATAGTTTTTTTTATCAGTTGTCTCAAGTAAAAATGGTGTTCCTTTTAAAAAAAATGTTGTTTAGCTTGCAGTTCAGTCATGTAAGTGCTTTTCCTCGATATCATCATTGTTCTGTATTAAATAAACTCTAGCTAGTCTGGTTCTTGTCTAGACACTAAAGAAATAACTTCTGTGTTTATATCTCAACTGTTTGCAAATGAAGGATTAGCTCACAAAAATAAAAACTCTGCACAAATTTTAATCTCATAATTATAGTTATTAATTTAAAATATGAATTTTCTAAATTTTCTAGAGTGGCAAGGATTATGGACATATTTAAGTTTTTGTTTTTGTTCACTTTTTTTTTGGTAGCAACGTAGGCTTATGAAATAACAGTAGTTTACAAAGTCATCACAGTTGGTGAAAATGTGATTGATGGAAAGACCAGGATGACAAATGGAGGCGAAGAATGCTAGTTCTTTTACATGAAGGACAGTATACAGCTAACTTGATATAGATGGTTAGAAGAGGAGATTAAGTTAGCATGCGGTGGGCCAGCTTCTCTAGCCTTCACATCCACTGTTGATATTGCCTGATTGGGGTAAGGAGTCTATCTGAAATTCCCTTTCAAAGCCATTCTTGCAAGGTTGTAGCCCTTTCAACTATGCCTGCCCTCCAGATGTATATAATAAGAACAACTCCAGAACAGCAGTCTTGACTCTAGACTGAGTAAACGGGAAATTGATTTCCTGGCCATTTTCTCAGTCAGACCATTCTTTTACTATGCTCAGCCCCCAGGCCTGCTTCTGACACATGCTTGCTCAGGCCTGCAAGAATTAGGGGCAGAAGAGATGCATCAGGTTTGGACAATCTAGAATGGTCCTGCTCCTGCTTAAATAGTCACAAATAATATCTGTTTTTCAATGGTTAGCTTTTTGTAGGGAATATGTTTTGAGTTTCATAGTCTGGGGGATATGAAGAACTGAAAGATGACACTAAATTAGAAAATGAAAGTGCTTAATTGGAACTTGGCAATTAATTGAGAATGTGTCTTTTGAGGGTGTGAAGGCTGAGGTCATTTGTTTTATATCAAATTGTTTTTACCATTTTATCAAAGATTACTACTTTCTTTAATCATTCCTGAGAAAGAATAAAGAGGTATTTGGAATATAGATATTCAAGGAGAAATTTCCAAATAAAAAGAGCTCTTAAAAACACTGGATTTGTTTGATGTCAAGAGATAAGCTAAATTTGTTGTTTTGACTAAAACTTTTTTATAAGAGAGACTTGTAGTGTCTGCAAACTAAATCGTCACTGTGGTAGATAGTAATTATTATGTGTCTAGTAAAGGGTAATGATGAAATACAATATGTGTAAAACTATATAAACAGGAAAGAAATGAAAATGTGCTTATAAATTCATATCCAGCTGTTAAAATTAATGAGTAATGGCAAATGGACATAAATCTGCTCAAAATGTTTAGTGAAATTTTATCAAGACCATTTTATTTAAAAAAGTTAAATATGAAGTCACTGAATTGATTTTGGTCAGTTAAATAAATAAAAGACTAAAAGCTTTAATTTTGAATTCAGTTAACCATACATTTCTGTGGAGATCTACCTCTTCCTCAGCTCTTTAGGAAATAATTACAAAAAAATCAAAATGAGTGAGTAATACCATTTTTCTAAATATCTATCACTATGATGCAATTGGTTCTTTATAATACAGTTTTGCTTTTTTTTAAAAAATCTTTTGTTTAGTTACCCATTGCTCACCATAGTGAAGGGGTTGTAAGAAAAGAACTATTTGAGTCAGACTAAGGACAGCAGGCCAAGTGACTGATACCTTGACATTGAGATAACTTGAAGGAAGGACAGTAAAAATCAAGTGAAGAATTTTACTTCTGCACAATGTAATTCTAAATGTTTATTACCTTCTAAAAATAAGATGTACAAATATATAGTATATTTTAGGAAAATTTATCAAATGGAGGCCATTAGAGCCACTTAAATGTCAGTTTTCTAGAATTCACCTTATATGCAGCTTGACAGTTTTTGCTTAAAACTAAATTAGGAGTTATTTTGGACTACAAAAAGTCTCTCTGTCTTTATAATGAGACCTCATACCACTTATTTATGAAGAAAGGAACCCTGTAGATATTTTCAACATGGAAAAGTTATTTTTGATGAATGATACTTTTGAAAATACATGTTATCTTTCTTTCCTGAAAACTTTTCCCTTAACCTTACAATTTTTCCTAACTAACCGCTCTGCCACCCCACTTTTTTTTTTTTGAGAAACCATGCATTATAATACATGAAATAAACACTCTAGGATATGCAAGGTAAAAACAGACTTTAGAAACAAAAGTCACTATAGTGATATTAAAAAATAAAACATACAGTACTATCTATCCCCCATTGCACATTACATAGCCTACTCTTTTCATAACCAAGTATATTCCTAATCCAACATGAGTTCCTAAAGCAAGAAAGACATACAAAAAAAGATAGTTGTATCCATATTAAAGGAGTGAGTTAACCA